CTACAGCACTACATCTCCTTATATCTACATTTAAATCTTAAGATAAATAAAAACTGAGACCTCTGAGGAGCTAGTGGAATCATGTCTTCATCTTCTGTTCTCTCCAGGGCATATTGCTCATGGAACCAACTGGCAGGGACATCATATGATTTAAATGATCTCCTTCTGCCCTCCCTTCCCTGAGTTGAAATCAGAGATTCATTGGAAGAATCTTGTAGTTCCATTCTAATAACTACAATTTGGCTTTTGGTTTACTTGTCTTACAAAAGGAGTCAGGTGTGGCTCTGTAGGATCAGCACTGGACCATAAGGTCAGGATCACAAGGTGGCTTTAAACCACAAGGTAAGAGTTCAGACTCACCAGCCACTCCTAGGAAATCCTATACAGGATTACTGAGTCGGAACTAACTCGATGGCACTTAACAATAACTGTTTTGCAAAATATCTCACAGTGTAGCTGTGTGACCTTGGGCAAGTCACCTACAGTGTGATGCTAGATTCTTTTACTAAGGAGTTGAGCCAAAGAAGCTGTGAGATTCAGACAGCAGCTCTCTTTTAAACTGTCTGCTTGACATTATTTACAGTGCATGTGAACCAGTTTCTAAAAATGGGGTTGTTGACCCATTATTATGTAGGACACTCTTCTCCCCTCAGTCACTGCATACTATAATACAGTATTCACATCATGTTATGTGTAAGTGGTGAAACAGACAACAAAAGTAACATATCTTACTATCAGCTCAGGAGGGAATATAGGCTCCTGGGATGGATCAAAGGGCTGGAATTCATCTTCATTGTACAGTTTTGTGCATATCTGAAAAATGAAAGAAAATAACAATAGACCTTCAGAGTTACTGAGAGCTCAGCAGGAATCTGTAAAGAGAAACTTCAGTCAGGGTTACACTTCTGGCACCCTTAGAACAGAATGGAGGTGCTTCTGATGGAATGCTTCCAGTTTGTACAGGACCATAGGACTGTTCCCTTGGCAGATTTCCTTGTTTGGTGTCAGAAATTGAGATTTAACCTCCTGTGCTGGGACTTAGGTATTATTTGTGGACATTTAAAAGGAGCTCTGGTAGCATAGTGGTTACAAATTGGGCTGCGAACCGGAAGGTCAGCAGTTTGAAACTACCAGCTGCTCCGCAGGAGAAAGATGAGGCGATCTGCTCTCCTAAAGATTTACAGCCTCGGAAACCCTATTCAGGGTTGCTATGGGTCAAAACCGACTTGAAGGCACTTAACAACAACAACAAGAATTCACTATGAGCATGAGGGTGTATCACTGTTTCTGTCCTTCTTTATGTTTAGTGGGGTGGGAGAAGTGGAGCAGTCCAGATTAGCCTGAAAAATTGTAGCATTTTCAGGATAATTACCTTCTGTGTTGATTGATCTCATGACCCTTATGGGCTCAATAACTTTTGGAGCTCTTTAAGGCTGTTATGCCCTGAATTCAGCTATTTTGCACTTTACTCAATGAAAACCGTTAAAATTGGAATAACTTTGGATTTATTTACAGGGGTAATGTTTATTTTTCAGTCAATCCCAGCTGAAGTGGGAAATCAGATACTTACTTTTCTTGGTTTATCCACAAAAGATCTCTCTTCTTGGTCCATGCAGCATTTTCCAGTTCCTTTCAGTTGACAAACAGTTGATTTCTTAGGAAGAAATGCAGTTTAAAACAAATTAATTGATTCTTTAAACAGCTACCTGAGCAGACAACAGTGGCCCCAGATTTTAGAAGAGGCATGGGAGAAATAATAGAGGTTTTTTTGCCCTCAAGGACTCTGTAATTTGGTGGATGGGGATCACTGGACAAACTACAAGGAGTGTGCAGTTAAGTTCACAATACATCTCGTAAATAGTGTTGTTCAAGTTTTAAGGGAATAGAAGTATTGGCTCAGTCAGCTCAGAAGTCCTACTCAAGCCCTTTGCCTCTGAGTTGATTTGGACTCTTTGAGATCCTGTAGGACAGAGTGCTGGCTGTGTGCTGAGGAGTCGGTTCCCACTCACAGCCACCCTGCATAGGGTTTCAGAGGCTATAAATCTTTATGGGAGGAGAAAACCTCATCTTTCTCCAGTGGAACGGTTGATAGTTTCAGACTGCTGACCTTGAGGTTAGCAGCCTGACACGTAACCGACACACTACCAGAGCTCCTTATAGGACAGAATTGTTGTTGTCAGGTGCCATCGAGTCGGAACCGACTCATAGCGACCCCATGCACAGCAGAACGAAACAATGTCCGATCCTGGGCCAACCTTACTACCGCTGTCACACCTGACACCATCAGTGATGCCACCTGGCTGATCCATCTCGTTGGGGGTCTTCCTCTTTTTCTCTGACCCTCCATCTTACCCAGCATGACTGGGAGAAGGAAGGATGTCATAGGACAGAGTAGACCTGCCTAATATAGTTTTCAAGGCTGTAGTTCTGGTGTGGGGCTGCCAGTTAATGCACTGAACTGTAAGGTTTGTAGTTCAAGCTCACCAGCCACTCCTGCAATCTTTATGGATCGGAATCGACCCGACTCGACAGTACTTAACAACAACAATCTTTTTGGAAGAAGATTGCCAATAGATTCCAATCTTTTCATCAGCAGCCACCAGGACTGCTTCAGGATTTCTTGTTGTGAATGCCATAGAGTTAGTGCACATCCATAGTGACCCTGTATAGGATTTCCAAGGAGTGGCTGGTCAGCTTGAACCACCAATCTAACAGTTCAACCAAGTGGATTCCTGGTGATGTTGGTGGTTTCATAGCGACTCTGTATAGGCCGTAAATCTTTACCAGAACAGAAAGCCTCATCTTTCTCTCTCAGAACAGCTCGTAGTTTCGAACTGCTCATCTTGAGGTTCACAGCCGATTCGTATCCACTACGCTACCAGAGCTCCTTACTAAATAGAGCCCTGGTACGGAGCTATGTGTTAACTTGTTGGACTGTAAGGTCGGATTGAACCACAAGGTCGGAGGTTCAAACTCACCAGCCACTCCTCGGAAACTCTCTACAGGGTCAAGCTGACTCGATGGCTCTTAACAACAACTAAATGAAGTACGGCCACAATGTGATCATTGAAAAAGCCTAAACCCAAACAGATAATGCAATTGGTGCTCTTTATTTTTAAAGAAGGAGCTCTGGTAGCGTACGGTTACGAGTCGGGCTGCTAACCTCATGGTCAGTAGTAGCTGGAAACCACTAGTGGTTCCATGAGAGAAAGGCGAAGCTTTCTGCTCCTATAAAGATTTTCAGCCTCGGAAACCCTATGCAGGGTCTCTACCAGTTGGAACCGACTCCAAGGCACACCATCACCACTGACATTTTAAAAAATGACATGCACGCATCTTTAATGAAGCCCTGGGAAGACAGCCTTTAAAACTTTCAAAACACAAATGTAAATAACCTGCATCCCTATCTGCTTCCTTCATTTCTCATCTCTGAAGGTGGCTTTTATTCTTTTCTCACTTTTTTTGAGCTATGAACATCTTTCTTCCCCTTAATTTCATTCATATTCTTACTTGGAATCTTCTGCTGACCTCTCTTCACCCATGGATTTAATCACTTCCTTTAAGACCTGGTGCAACACTCTCCTTCTTCGATAAGCTTCTGTTTCTTCCTTTCCTATTCATTAATGTTCTTTAATGTATGGCCCTTCAAAGCTTTTATGCATGGTTTATAGTCTGTCTTGAACTTTTAATATGTTGCTTTTAAATCATGGTTTTATTGTCTCTTAGTCTGTGTTTCGGTTTCGTCAGTACAAGAAGAGTATGCATTTCTTGAAGTCATGGGCCATAGACTTTATTACTTAGAAAGTGACTAATTTAGAACTATAAATTAGTTATAGTTCTGGTGTGGTTAGGTCGTACATGTAAAAATGGTGGAAATGGCAAATGGTTCGTTGTATATCTATTGCTACAAAGAAAAAAGAATAAACCAAATGAAAAAAAAAAAGAGATGCTAACAGCTTAATGAATAATTACAAAACAGTGGGTATTTAGCCACATTCAGTCATTAGAAAAGTCAACGTGGGATTATTTTATAGATTTATATAAAACAACCCCAAATCCACTGTTACTGTGTGGATTCTAATTCATAGTGACCCTAGAGCACACAGCAGAACTGCCTCACAGGATTTCCAAGGCTGATCAACTTTATTAAAGCAGATTGCTACATCCTTCTCTTGTGGACCAGCTGGTGGGTTTGAAATGTAGACCTTTTGGTTAGTAGTAGAGTGCTTTAATCACTGGGCCACCAGATCTCCTTGTTTTATGGGAAGGCCTATTCATACATTAAACAAACAGAAGACATTAAAAACAAAACAAAAAAAACTTACCGCACTGAAAGTTGTTCCACTTTCTACAATGGGTCGATATCCAGTACAGCGGCACAAATTACCTGATTTTGAAGGAATCCGTTTTTAAGGAATGGTATGATGAGTGATTAGATTCTTATTTGTTTCCTAAACCTAGCACAATGGCTCTTTGGAACTACTGTTCCCTTTGGAGGAGATGTTCTTCAAAACCAGATCTTGTTATGGTATTTTCTTTCTGAAATGCCTCAAATACTTCCATAGTTTTTCCCAGCCATCTCTTCTCATCTCCCTGCCCCCACCTCTCCCTTAACTGGTTGGTGTACCTGGCATCTCCCATAGCGTCTCAGGTATGCCCCTTCATCCTGTTTTTCTAATGTCATCTCTTCTCCCTCAAATGCCCTCTTAGGGAAAGTGTATACATCCTCAAGACTCAATTCCCCTTCTCCAGGAGGTTGCTTTAGTACCCCAAACAGTGGCCTCTTGTGGCAGAAACATAAAGACAATTTCCCTGCCCCAGCTTTTAATTTTCAGCATTTTTCATAATGGAAATGTATACATTTAAACTAAGAAAAGTTAATTAAAAATTATCCTCAATTAAGCTTAAGAATTTTAGGAGAATATATATGTGTGGATCGGGCAAGTTTAAACACCTGAATGAATAAAGTGTTGCGTGGGAGCTTGTCAGTAAGCTTGTCAGTAAGCCTCGGGTTCCAAGGAATCTCCATTTTATTAGAATGAGAACTCTCCTGGAAGATACTTGCAGGTACATGAATGGCTGGAGACTATAATCTACCTTTCTTTTTGCTAATAAAGGATAAAGACCTTGGGCGGGTATGAATTTCAAATCTCTCTTCTGAGTATAGGGTAAGAGATACAGTGTCTAGAGCGGAGTCCTGTAGGATGAAAATAATTTAGACAAATGATGACTTCTCTCTGCTAAACTGTAAGCAAACACAAAAGGCTGAAGTGAGGCAGTATCAGGTTATTCTATTGTTTTTATTCTTGGCTACATAGTCAGTGCTAAGTCTGGAAGTGACACTAAAGGTCTACCCAGGGAAAGTTAACAGTGCCTATCACAGAAACTCTTATGATTCTGAGAAAAAAATGATAGGAATGAAAACTTTTCTTTTCCTTAGTCTTGAGAAGAAAAGACAAGATTAAATTAAGCAGTGATTTTATATCAGTTGAGCATTTGGAAAGTATGTGCCTGCACCTAATTGTTTCTTTGAACTTTATTTTCTATAATGGTTTTTCTTACAATATGAACAAACTCTACCAGTGAGGCTAAAATGTATAATGTTATAAAGAGCACAAATAAACGGATTATGAACCAGAGTATACGCTCCATGTTATCCATACCTAGAATGAGTTTGGCTCTGGTAGCATAGTGATTATGAATCGGGCTGCTAACCTCAAGGTCGGCAGTTTGAAACTATCAGCTGTCCCACTGGAGAAGGATGAGGCTGTCTGCTCCCATAAAGATTTACAGCCTCAGAAACCCTGTGCAGGGTCGCTTTTTTTTTTTTTTTGTTGTTGTTAATAAAGCTTTTATTGTGAATTGAGTGGTAGTTTACATGACAGAACATTGGTTTTGCACTCCACAGATAATATATTGTTTCACTGTACTGATTACAATCCCCTATGTGTGTCACTGGAGTCCTGGTGTGGCGCTGTGGGTTACTGCACCAGACTACAGAGCCATTTGAACTGCAAGGTCAGTGGTTCAAGCTCACCAGCTCCTCCTCAGAAACCCTATACAGGGTCACTATGGGTCGGAATCGACTTAATGGCACTTAACAACAACAACAACAACAACAACATGTGTGCCATTGGTTAACATATTTGCCTTGCAGGGTTGCTTTGAGTGGGAACCAACTTCACAGCACACCACCACTACTGCTTTATAAATTATGACAATCTTGACAACACCATCTCCTGGTGGTTGTTATGTGAACTCAACAGCAAACAATCCAACAACATAAACTTACTTATGCACATTCAAACAAAAGTATGGAAATTATAAGTGCTCTACTTTTCAAGGCTCTAAATACCTCATTATTTTTGATTATTTCATTAAACAAAGATTTTCTATTTTCAGATCCATGAGATGGTTAATAATAGAGTAATATATCTTAAAGTAATGGCAAAATCTGATTTTCTGATCTTTATTTCCTGTATAAAAATATTAAGAGCCCAAAATACTTTGATTCAGTGTTGAATCCGTCTTGAAAAGTAGAGTTGAAACCACAAGGCAAAAGTTTTAATTGTACTTAAAGGAGCTCTGGTAATGTAGTGGTTACGAATCGGGCTGTGAACCTTAAGGTCAGCGGTTCGAAACTACCAGCTGCTCCGCGGGAGAAAGATGAGGCTTTCTACTCCCATCAGGATTTACACCCTCGGAAACCCTGTACAGGGTCGCTATGGATCGGAACCGACTCGATGGCACTTAACAACAACAACAACAATGAGAAATTGAAAACCTTTGAGTGTTGAAGTTATCGAGAAATAAGGGAAAATATTAATATCCCAATTAACATAAAAGTTAAGTTGAATTTTTGTTTATTCAGTATCCTTTTCACCATAAGGCTGAGTTTCTGTCTAGGTTGATTTACTGAAGGAGACAGTAAATTTTCCTGTAATATTCAGACCTTTACTTTAACAACTCTCTTCAAGGAGTTAGAGACCAGTTATTTGAAACTTGGCAAGTTTGTTACATAAAACTACATTTATTAGCAGTTCTTTTGGTAGGAACTTCTGTTTGTTCACTTAAATTTAATAGCCATTTTGTCAAAGGAGATTGAATTGCTCACTAAGTTTATTTGTGATAATTGATTGCTATGTACAACCACTGGGTGAAAGGTGAAGCTTTCTGCTCACTTGAAGATTTAAAACCTCAGAAATGATATACAGGGTCACTATGAGTTGGAACTGACTCCACGAGTCTTGACAACAACAACAACGACCAACCAGATTATAAAAATGTAAAAAAGTGTCTTAAAGTCTCTCATCCTTTCAAAGTTAATTTTAGTAAGTAAAGTTAATGAATAATTCTAACAAACAAACAGAATAATTTAAAAACAAACAGCTCTCATTCCTCCACACTGCCTAAATTTTCACATTTGGGAAAGATTTTATTAAAAATGTTAGAAACAGACCATTTGAATATCTTTGCAGAGTGATAAAGGGCTCCGTTAAGGAAGAAAGGCTTGTAATGAAATATGTGCCGTCAAGTCATGTCCCTGTATAGGGTTTCTGAGGAGTGGTTTGCCACTCAGGTTAGCAGTCCAGTGCTTTCCTACAGCACTACACCAGGACTCCGCAATGGAATATATACTGTTATAATTCCTGGCATCACTGCTGCCAAATAAAGACAGATAGATTTTCATGAAAAGGATGTGGGACAAAATGGTTTGGAGGAGGCCTGAATGTTCACCAGGTTCCTTGAATTCAAAAGGTGTAGCACAACTCTTCTCCCTGGCTTGGAACCCTCCTCCTATGGGCCACCCTGTGCCCTGCTGAGAAGACTCACCTCCCAGTGCTTCAGTTATTTGCGCAGGGGTTGGCTCCGGATGGTTCCTCAGTAGTGTATAGATGGACATTACCATCCCTGGGCTGCAGAATCCACACTGGGTACCATGACACTTGGCAAGTCTTTCCTGGCAGAAAATGGTACATTAATTTTACTCTGCACCTCTATATTTGACACCAGCAAGTAGAGAAGCTTATTTAGTTTTAAAGAAATAACTGCAGGGTAGGAGACATCATCCTAGAATACGTATAGCTTTTGCTCTCAAGAAAAACATAGTACAGGTTTTAATTAAGCCACTTTATTTTCTAGACCTCGGTTTCTTTAACTGAGAAAGAGAAAGCATAGCTTTGAAGAACGAAGAACTTTGGAGCCATGCTCATGTGAATTTGAGTGCTTACCATTGTTGTTAAGTGCAGTCAAAATGGTTCTGATTCATAGCAACCCTATATAAGGTTTCTGAGGAGCAGCTGGTGGGGTTTGAACCACAGACCTTATGGTTAACAGTCCAGTGCTTATCCTACAGTGTCATACTGGGAATCCTGAGTGCTTACTGTACCTCATTAATTCTGTGACCTTGAGCAATTTTCTTGATTTTTCTTAATCTATGAAATTGGGCTAAAATTGGTATCTATAGGACTGTTGAAATTAAGTGAATGAATGTGTGCAAATCATTTATCATAGTCTCTGGCACAAAGCGAGTAATTTTCCAATGCAGTTCATTTTCTTCTCCATCTAGATTATGGAATTTTTGATGGACTAAATGACATAATCTATATGAGTCCTTTGAAAATTATAAAATGTTTAGTAGTGTTGTGTCATTTACATATTTAGTTTATACACTTTCAACTTGGTATAAAGTTGAAATACAAAACAAAACAAAACAAAAACGGAGTCAGAAGTAACAGTGTAATCTGTTCATTCTGTACAGAGACCTTCTGCCATGCAGATGGAGATGGGACACAGGACTCTCTTGGCCCCTCTCTGTGTGTTAGTCCTATGGGTGCTCACCTGACTGGCTTGAATGTGATTCATATGTTTTATATCAACATTTTTCATGTAATGTGGTGCCTAAAATGAAAGCCAAATATGTCATCTGTGACTGACGTGAAGAGCCAGACATCTGTTCTAACGCTAGAGGCGAATATGGCTGTGTTGGGTTTATTGCTAGATGACAAGTAGTTTCAGATGTAGCACATAAACACAACTGCAAATATGCTGGCAAATGCTTAACAACTGGGAAAAAAACCAAAAAAACTCCTGATAAGTAGCTTCAACTGATATCCATAGCATAAATACTTCCACCATGGTGGGTACCAAGCTATCATTGTGGTATCTGTGAATATGGAGCTGGGAAGAGATGCAGTTACCATATGTTATATGGTATTTCCACCATGTAAACAACCTCAAGAGCATAACCTTGTAATAAAATAATTAGGAAGTGATGATGATATTCTTCACCCTTGTGTTTAATAGCTCCTTGGAAATCCTATACAGGGTCACTATGGGTCAGAACTGACATGATGGCACTTAACAACAATAATTTGTAAGTTTACATCATTTAAATTTAAAAAAATGTTTTATTGTGAATTATATGATAGTTTACATGGGAGAACATTAGCTTTACATTCATCCTATCGTACGTATATTGTTTCATTGCCGTGGTTACAATCCCCTCCATGCATCATCAACCAACCAAAGGGTATACCCTGCAAGCCTGTCCCCTGGTCGTCAGCACACAGCCCCTCTCCCTCTCTGGGTCTAAAGACCCCAGCCACTCCATCTTTCCACGTCATCATCTCTGACTCCATCTCTCACATCACTGTTTCTCTGGGTAGGTTCCTGCACTCCACTCTTCTCCCTTGATGGTCCCAGGGACCTCCACTCCAGGACTACAAAGTCAACCAATACCCTCCTTTTGCAACAAAACATCTACCTTTACATTTCCAACCCTCGCAGTCAGTCCTGATAGCAATTATTCACTATTGTATCACAAGAGTGCTATCCCCATCTCCTTTACATCAGCTCCGCCCAGACAGATTAGATACTACTCAGTGGAGATTCTACCTTCCTCTGCGCCTTCTGGATCTAGGCTCCCTCTTGAAAGCTTGTAAGCCAGTCAATGCTTTCTTTTTATTTTATTTTTATTTTTAGTGTTTTATTGTGAATTATATGATAGTTTACATGGGAGAACATTAGTTTTACATTCATTCTATCGTACATCGTATTGCCATGGTTACAATCCCCTCCATGCATCATCAACCAACCAAAGGGTCCTGCTCTCGGCTCTTCTCCGTTGATGGTCCCAGGGACCTCTGCTCCTAGACTGAAAAGTTAATCACTTCCTTCCTTGCTATAAAATGTCTACCTTTACATTTCCAACCTTCACAATCAGTCCTGATAACAATTATTCACTATTGTATCACAAGAGAACCATCTGCATTTCATTTCATTAACTCCACCTAGACAGATTGGATACTACTCACTGGAGATTCTGCCTTCCTCCAGGTCCCCTGGCTCTATGTTCCCTCTTGAAAGCTTGTAAGCCAGTCACTTCTTGCCTTTGTAGCCCTACTCCCCCCCAACCCCATTTTGGGTAGCCAATGTATAAGTTGCCCATCCCTGTCTACTCTGTGTGTGGAGGGGGTGGGAATGATTCTTGCTGTAAGAATTTGTTCCCTCTTTTGACCTACTGCTTCCATAGGTGTAGGTCAAGTCCATCAAATTGCATCAGATTACTCTTTTTTCCCTCTTCTTTCTTCTTCTGGTTGAGCTCTGATCATCTAGTCATTGAAACCAGATCAAGTGGGTATTATCTGCAAGTGTGGGTGTTCTTGTGCATATGCCCTCTCTTTTTATCAGCTGAACGCTTCACTCTCCATGTTGCCGGGCGTAGCTCGCCACTTCATTGTTGTTTTTCCCTCACTTCCCCTAATCAGTGATGAACATGGTCACCAATCAGAGCGTGTATTCCCATTGAGTCTTAGTCTAGGAAGGGGGTTTGCACTGAGGGGACCCATTCACTTGCTTTGATGTTTCCTGGACAAGCAACTTGTTGTTCTTGTAGTAACAGTCCGTCTGCCTCTATTGTTTTGTATTCTTTCTGTAGGTCTTTCAAGAAGTTTCTTCTATTCTTCTAGCCATTCCAGGCTGGCCTGCTCATCCTTTCAAGTGGAAATTTCCCATCTCTGGAGATCTGGATATGGTTCAGGCTTTTACCTATAGTCTTATGTATTGCAGAGGCTC